GCAGCCTCACCGCCCGCGGCTGCCCAGCGCGGAGGAGAGGGGGCCCGCGCTGAGAGCCCGGAGGAGGTCCAGCTGCGTCTCCCTGGGGGAGAGCCCGGCCGGCTACGCCGGCAGCTGCAAGATGTACCGGAGACCCTCGCTGCCCTGCATTTCCAGAGAGCAGGTATGTCGCTCTAAAGCTGGAGGGAGGAACTTTTTCTGAGGGACGATGAGCGCCACTTGCTTTTCCCAGCTTCTCTCTGTGTGCCGGGTGTCGGGTAACCGTCCAGCTCCTGTTGAAGTAGAGGAATATGGTGGTTCCCCAGCGTGTGCTACTTCCTCAGCCTGGTGCTGCAGAACCAGTGATGCCCTTTGTGTATGCGTAAGACCTAAATAGCAATAAGGCGCTTGCAGCAGGATAAACTCCTTCCTGGCACCCTATTTGCACCATCTTTAGTATTTAAAAGTTGTCTTAACTCCTTAAAGAGAGAAAGAGAGAGAGAAAAAAAAACCCACTTCGGCTATCAGTTACTTTATTATTTGGGTTGATTCTTTTCCAAAGCCCACCTCCTCCGCTTCTGGCAGACTTTAAGGGAGAAGGAAACCCCAGCTCTCCATCTGTACGGCACTTCAGGGTCTCCTCGCTTTTTGCCGACAAAGCGATTGCTAAGTGCTAAAGAAAAATCATATTTTGAGGTATATTATTTACCTCATTCGCTGTTTGAGTTGTGGCTGTCCTTCTGTGTTGCAGATTACCGTCTCCTGATTCTCTCATTCTCGCATGCCCTTCTCTTCCTCACTTCAAATAAGTTAACGTCGTGTTTGGTTTGGTTTAAGAAACTTGTTTTTACCAAAGAGCAAGAACTGCTCAGTAGAGTCTGGAAGGATGCCCGAACCACTCAGTTTTCTTGAATGGAACTCTGTTGGTTTCTACCTCGTGGAAAACTTTTCAATGAGCCTTGTTTTGTGTAGTGCAACCCCCGCGTGGGGCTGAGCTTGTTTATATTTGGGAAGTCTCACGTGAACTCCGGCAACCCCAAGTTGTGTTGCCGGTGGGGTTGGCCCGAGGCTGCTGGGAGTGGGTAACGAGCCCGTTTTAGCGGGAGGAGAAGGGGGAAAGTTTTTAATGAACTGTTTCTGGGAAGCAAATCCCTGTCTACTTCTGTTGTGGCTGAAATTCATGGATCTTAAGTGAAATTCTGTAGTTCGGCTTTAGCATAAGTCCCATAGCACGCCTCTTGTGAGGGCCATGAAATAGCTCTGAGGAAATACGAAGTCAGTCTGAAACAGAGGAGTAGTTTTTGAGCAGTTTCTTCCTCAGCATTTCTACATTTATCCACCAGTAATTCTTTTTTTTTTTAACCTAAAAGTGCAAGCATGCTGAAATCACTCATTGAATATAATTTAAAATTATTAAATACATACTAAAAATTTTAAAAACATTATTATACAATATTCTCAATATATCTTAATTGATATTAAAGTATTCTAATTTGCCTTCTCTACTCTGTTCACTTTCGGATAGTGAATGATCTCTTTTTTTGTCTGTCATCAGCAATACATATAAAAAAAATCAACAAATGGAATAACTCCTTTCATTAACCTTTCTACATGATACAAGATACTTGTTCTTATGCAAGTTACTTAATGTTTCTTTTTGTATTCAACTCACTTTCTAAAACCATGTGTATATTTCAAGTTAAGGCATTGACTATTCTTTAAAAAATATCATAAATGTCAACCATAATAAATATGGATTTTACAGAGTGTACTTAAATCATTCATGTTCATAATAAAATGTAACTGTTTGGTATTCACCCAGAATTGGGTATTTTTGTTATCCCTAGAAGTAAAAGGAAACAAGAAAGAGATCTTAAGTTCTCTACTATATTTTTCTAACAGTCTGTTATGCTTTAGAGTAAATATTTGTCTTTTATTATGCACAGCTTAAAAGAGTTTCACAGATGTATGTTCTATACAATAGGTTGTGGGTGATTTTGCAAAGATAACACAGTTTAAATCCTCTGATTTCCTGTCTGTCTTGGAGAGAGATCAGACATTGTATAGCTGATAAAATGTCAATTGATTGTGTGTGAGAAGTGTGCAACTTTATTTGGATAAATATTAAAAGCTCTTTATGTTATTTCCTTGAAAAAGAAGGAATGCTTGCTCTTCAGACAACCTGTTATGCTATTAAAAAAAAAACATCTTTTGCAGATCTTTATACAATACTCTAGTGATTTATTTAGTATTAATGTTTAGACATAGCAAGCTTAATGAGCATCACAAGAAAGATTAGCAGAATACAAGGAATGGGGTATAAGTCCACTAGGGCACGAATATGTTAGTAAATGACAGCTAAATTACTATAGTGCTCATACTTTATGTAATTTGTGTAATTACTAATGTGGATTAAACTTCTACAAGCAGGAGCAAGTAAAAACAGGCAGAATTTTGAGTTATTCTCAGGGCAAAATAGGGAACTTTACATAATTTTTCAGTTATTGATTTGAAAATATGTCTTGTTCTGTCTAGTTAAATACTGTGAAAAAATATTTGTATTGGGTTAACTGTCTTTTTCACTAATTAGCTTAAGCCAATAATTATAAGATATCTGCATGCATGGAGAGTGAGGGGGGAGCAGTTCCATGTATATGCAACCAGTAGTGGACACACTGGAGCTGGTTGGAGCTGTTACTGTTTTCTGGGGCAGGGGCCTGTGAGCAGGTTCCTGTAAATGCTTTCTGATTTGAGCCATCTATATGCTAAATGCTTGAATCACTTGTTTCCGTAGTTGGACAGATACGGCAACTGCAATGCTGAAAAGTTGCTAACTTGAATTGCCTTTGTTCTTACCCACTATATGAAATCTTCGCTTGCTTGAGCCATCCATCTACAACTTCTTGCTATGTGTGTTAGATAAACCTATCTATTATAGGTTTACGTTTTTATGTACGTATATCTAAACACCAGTGTGAAAATATGTAAATACAAATGCATATAGATCAGAATGTGATATGGCTAAACTTAAATCACAAAATTACACAATTACTATTTCTTTTATGAACTCAACTCTCTTAACACTTTCTGCTTACATTTATGTGATTTTAGTAGGCTTTTTGCATCCTTACTGCAAAGTTCATCTTGTGCCTAGGGAGACTTTTTTTTTTTTTTTGGTCTCCCTTTAACATTCAAGTGAACAGGTATCTGCAAGAGAACCTGGTAGGAAGTCATACACAGGAACTTATATAAGTCAACAACAAAAAAAGAGTGTTTTCTAAAATGCGTGTTCTTCCTTGCGGAAGGAATAGGCCTTTCTGATTTTTGTGAGATGTGTGTCCAAAATAGTCTGCAAACAGATGCCTTTTCTTTTTCCGAGCTACCTGACTTGCTGTTCGAATGTGTGGGAATGCTGGCATATTTCATGGATAACACCTTCATGTTGCACTCCTGTTAAATTACAGGAAGAATTCTCACGATCAGTTATTAGATTCATTGCAGATCTCCCCAATTTCAATTCATATCTATCTTGTACCTTTTGTAGTTTACTTGAGAAAGATCAGACCTCAGTTAGTCAAAAATATTTATACAACTTAAAATTAATGCAATTCTTCATTTGCTTAGATGTTATCTATCTGTTCCTGCTTCCTATTTGTGAAGCAAATCATGTTTCATTATTCTTAGGAACTCTGTCTGTGAGCTTTATAGTGCAAAAGCTACCTGTTACTGTGTATTATTACAATATATGTGTTCACAGAACATGACAAAAATGTTATTAGGGAGCCTGAGAACAGTTAAGAATTCCTTTAGCTAAACTTAGTTTAACCTGATTTTTAGTTATTCAAACTTGTTTTGAAATCTGGTGGGAGGCTGAGGATGTTTTATTACAGGACAGATGGAAAGGAGTGGAAAAGCTGATGGAGAAGAAGGTTTCAAGGACAGAGTGATTAGCTGTGTCAAATGGAACTAACAGGAAAAAGTACTAATTTTCAGCTTTGGCTAGGAAGAATTTAAATGCCCGCAAGGAAATTGTACAGATTAGGAACAAAATATCTCATAGGAGAGTGTCTAGAATTACAGTGGAAGACAATATATCCAGACTGGTTTGTAAACAGTATGTTCTGTGAGATTAAATATGAAAGAGACAAGAGCTACAAGGGATCAAGTAGGAAAAGGGTCATCTGCTGACATAACCTTTGTGCGTGTATGTATTCACCTGTTGGTATCATCCTAATAATGGAACTTGACTAGCTCCAAATGGGAATTAGAGGCTTAAAAGATACCAAATTCCATGTGAGGGGAAGAAAGTAGAAAGAGAAGAGAGACTCCAGAAAGGGTGTTGCTGTAGAGTGCAAGATTGCAGTGTGAGCTGAAGCCCTGACGATCCACATGGATGTCTTTGTCATATATGTCAGTGAATACTAGAGCTGTACGCAAGATTTTCTGTTAAAGCATGTGCCTTACTTGACTTATGTTAGGAACTGATTTTTTTAAACTTTTGTTGTTTGTTTTCCTGCTCCTATTTTGTTTGACTCCTAACAAGCAAAGATATGCAGCCTTGCTGTCCTTTAAGCCAAGCACTGAATTTAGTCCTTCAAAGCTGTTGGGTCTGGTGTTTACAAAATACTTGCTGAAGATGCAAAAAAGTAAAAGTTGTGCTTCTCTGCAAAGAAAAGGATAAGAGAGGGAAATTGGAAAATGTAATATTTCCCATGACAAACAAAGAAAAAGCTGTGGGGAAAAACGGGCGAGAAGCTTCTGGCTTATGAATGAGAAAGGAAGGCAATCTACAGGAGGCCAAGGTAACTTAGGATCTCACACTTGTTTTTTTTCTGGAATAGAATTATGGGAAGAGAGGGCTGAAGAAGTGGCTTAAGGTGAGAGTTAAAGGGAAAGGAGAAGTTGAATTCTAGTGTGACTTCTTTTTTTTTTTCTACTGGGAGAAACAGAAATGCTTAGCAAGGTGTAACAATGCAACAGAATAAATTTTAATAAA